TTTTTTTTTAATGTTGTTTCCATCTCCTAAAAAACCAAGCTCACTGCCATCGAGTCAATACTGGCTCATAGCGATCCTGTCAGACAAGGTAGACCTGCCCCTGTGGGTTTTCGAGACCAAAACTCTTTACAGGAGTAGAAAGTCGTCTTTCTCCTTCGGTGCTGCTGGTGATTTCAGACTGCCGACCTTGCAGATCACAGCCCAGCGAATGCATAACCACGCCGCCACCAGGGCTCCGTGTTGGCATTACCTGTGTACGTGTGAAAGGATGATCTGAGAGGGGAAACGCTGGTGACGCAGGCAAAGAGGGAACAGCTGTTGGAGCACAGCTCTTCAGTAGGCACGAGACGGTGTGAAATGTGCTCAGAGGATGGGCAGCGGAAGCATCATAGCAGGAAGGCCAAGTGCATGGGTGTGGTGTGTACAGAGCTGGAACGATGAGAAATTCTCTTCTGTCGGCTTCTGTTTCCCCAGTGAAATACCCTGTTTCCCCGAAAATAAGACCTACTTACAGTTTTGCCTCTCGCTGAAATAGAAGGCATCCCCCCGAAAATAAGGCCCCCTGAAGCTGTCGTAACTCAACTCTGGACCCTAGCGGTGGGCACCGCCGTGCAGTTCACTGTTGGCCGGAGCAGACAGGAAGTGCAAGGTCTCTTTTAATAAAACAATGGGCAATAAATATGTACCGTATTCTTCTTCATGGAAAAATAAGACATCCCCTGAAAATAAGACCTAGTGCATCTTTGGGAGCAAAAATTAATGTAAGACACGGTCTTATTTTTGGAGAAACAGGGCAGGAAGCAAAGTCTTAGAGATGGTTTGGGCAAAGGAAAGTTCATATACCTGGGAATTTGTAATGAGCTTACCAAAAAATACTAAGGGCCCATTTGAGGCTGGTAGCCATGAGTTTAAATTAAGACTAAGCAGAATGTTGGGTTTCTGAGGTCACACTTATCCAGGGGGTGACCTGAATGGAATAAACAGTTGGATTTAACCCAAATTTCCCAGGGGGGTAAATGGTATTGTCAATTAGTGGAAAGAATTAGAAATATGTCTGATAATAGAGGAATTGTAATTTAATTAAGATATATATGTGTTTAATAGAATATTATACAACCATTAAAATTAGTAAGGGTAAGGTTTGGGAAATTACTATAATAATAAACTTTAAAAAGCAGAAGAGTGGATATGGGATGTGAACTCGACAATGGGAAAACTGCAAAGTAGACTGGAAAAAGCTCTGAAACCTCTAAGATTTGGTTAGTTCAGGTATGCACAGCATAACTGGGTGAGTCCTGACATGTATCCATATGGAGGGGGGTGGGGGGGCTTGCTTTAAGCATGAGCTTATGGGTAAGGCTGGGGCGGCTTTCCAGTTGCTAGGCCCTGCCCCTAGCCTCAGCTGCACCACCTCATCCCTAAGGGGCATTGATTTTGGACAGGCAGCCAAGGGTGTTATACTTCAAAAGGTTTCTGGGAAAATGGAATTAAAACATGAAGGAAATTTTCCACAAGCTTGTGAAGCTTATTTGTGTGTGTGTGTATTGAATATATGCAAAGATACTATGGTTGATTTTTTTAAAATACCTTTGACCTTTGAAAAACACAAGTTTAGACTACTTAGATCCACTTATATGTGGCTTTTAAAGAAAATTGCTTGGTAACACTGTCTCCAGCTGTGTAATTTGTCTCTCTAGTAAATGGCATATCACAGTAAAAAGTGATCTCTCACAGTTCTAGCATAGTTTTCATCCAGCTTGGTGTAATCCCATAAGCCTTGAATGACACTAGGGGACCCATATGAAGTACCAGCTTGAATGCCGGACATGTCCCTGAGAAGCCGAGAAAAGCCATGACATGACCTTACAAGACAATGTTGGATCGCTTGGCATGTCCTGGAATTGAGGTGTGCAGCTGCCGTTGCCCACCATTGTCAGTCAAGTTAACTCAAGAAACCAGGAAAAGTCGTCACTGAAACTGCTGGCAGTTTTGTAAACCTTGCCCCTTCTGCAGAATCAATACCATTTTATCTCCCATTGAAAATGTGGGTTTTATGTGGGGACAGTGTATAACATACACATGTGGAGTTCATTGACTAGGTTATCAGTAGGGCCCAATCAATAAAGTCAACAGTGGGATATATTTAGTTAAGTTTGAGGGGAGTCAGATTTATACACGGATTTTCAACTTTGTCTGTTACTCAAGGATCACGGTGTCACAGAATATAGGGTGGATGTTCATTGATAAATACCTGGACTCCCAATTCACAGAAGAGGAAACAGATTTGGTATGCTAAGTTGAGTGGCCTAAAGCCAGAAAACCAGTTGCAGCCGAGCTGATGGTACTCCTGGTGACCCCATGTGTGTCAGATTGGAACTGTGCGCCATGGAGTTCCAGTAGCTAGCTTTTCATAAGTAAATTGCCAGGGCTTGCTTTGGGTACCTTTCTGGTAGCAACCAAGCACCTTTTTGCACAAGCATTTAATGGTTTAGGGAAGCACTGAAGAGGGATGGTGGACCAAGGGACTCATTGGATGTAGTAAGATAGGTAATTGGTAATCTATGGGAGAGTAGTTTTTAGATTGGTAGGTCTCCGAAAGTTTTAGAAATCGAGAACGATTAGGCAGAATTTGCGAAGATGTAGAATGAAAGTCACGGGTCTTTGAGAAGGACGGGCTGCCTGCGCGTGTGCGCGGGATGACAGCAGTTTCTGCAGAGGAGCCAGCCCACGGGAGTGGGGCGGAGGGGCTCTCGACTCTGTAGTGGGACAGATTAGCCTTAGAAGGGCTTTTGCTTGAGAATGATGCAAGTCTGGGGAGGCAGGGTTATATGAGGGAGCCCATGCTTGGCGGGGGGTGGGATGTCTCATTTGTTTTGATAGTAGAAAGCAATAACCGAAAGAAGGAAAAGCAAAAAATAATGGTTGAACTATTGAATTGTATGCGATGTGGATGAAGTGTTAATAAAACTTTCACAAAAGCAAAGATTCAGACAGTGACAGAATAAAGAGAAAGGAGAGCATGAATCGAGTGCTAGAGGACAGGAATTGTAGAAGAAAGGTATGCTGGCACCACAGAACAGCTTGTAGTTGGGCAGCATCGAGTGCGAGACACAGGCAGACAAGGTACTAGCTTTATTTTCTAAGCAAAATGGCTTGGGCTTGCTTCCTTCTAGGTGCAAAAAAAGGGCTAGGAGGACCACTTGGTTCAAAATTGAACTCTTGGCAGTTTGTAAGACTTAATTAGATGCTTCTCTTTATACTGAAGCTGTATACCAGTGAAAAGAGCACTAAGTGTAAGGAGTCGAAAGACCCTGCCACTTTGCAACGTTCAAAATTAACATAGTAACAAATGAACATGTAAACCGTGAATAAGGAAAGCACTGACCTTAAGTCTTGAAAACCAGTGGTTTGACTCTGTACTGTATACTACACACTAATACTGTAAGCTATTAGTACATATGCTTTTCTATTAGGAAAATTGGGTGTGTGGGTTAGCAACCCTGAAACTTCAGGTGTATACTAGGATCAAGCAAATTACTTCAAAATATAGATTGAGAGCTAGGGTTCTCACTATGTGAGAAAGGGGTTCTAAGTAAGAAGGTGGAGTGAGCTTAAAAAGACTCCTGGGGTTTGGACCAAAACTGGAGATATCGTTCTGAATATAATGTATCTATAGAGAGAAATAGGTAGATGGGGATGGGGGGGGTCCTGCTTCTGCCTTCTGAGAAAGTCTAAAAGCTGTGATAACCCAAAAGCATTGAGCCTCTAGTGCCTAGAGTTTGGTGTTCAGTCTCCTTGTCCCAGTGAGAGGAACCGGGAATCTGGAGAGCGGCTGGGTCAGGGAAAGAACAGGGGGCCTGGGACAGTTGGAGGGCCTTCTTTCTCACGGCCCCTCCACTTTTCCATGCATGATGTCCTCCTCCCAGGGACTGCAGTCCAGGGGGAAGAAAAAGTCATAGCTCCTCCTGAGAGTACAGCCCCTTAATAAGTGCAGAAGGAATGATAGAAAGTCACCCTTTGGTAAACGCCACAGTTGGAATTATGGGAGACAAGATTCATTAACGCATGCTCAAAAGAGTGGGCAAAAATATGGTGAGAAATGGGGTAGTTTGCATAGTTTCAAACATTTGCAGTTTTAAAATTTTTGTTTTACAATCGCAGAAGGGTTACAAATTTAGTACCAAGTTCCTGTATCCTTCACTCAGATAACTGTTAACAACTTATATATAATCATAGTATAAATCGTAGTATAAAGACCTTTTCACATGGGGCTGCTAACCACAAGGGCAGCAGTCTGAAACCACCAGCGGCTCCAAAGGAGAAGGACCGGGCTCTCTACTCCCAGAGTCTCTGAAGCCCACAGGGCGTCTACCCTGCTCTGTAGGGTCGCTGAGTTGGCATCAACTCCATGGCAGCGAGCAAGCGAGTGCGCGAACTAAGGAGTGAACATTTCGGGGCAGACGCTCGCCTTCCGTGTAAGAAACCCTGCTTCAGTTTTCCAGTCGGTACACCTCCTGCACAGCCACCAAATACTGTAAAGGAGAACATAAGATGCTTTCTCTTTTTTGTTTTTTCACTAGGCTGTCATTTTCACCAATAGTGACAGGTCAGCTGCTTTTTTTGGAAGACTCACCCAGAAGGCAGCAGTCCGTTTCAGTGGGGCCTACTATAAAACGATAACAACCAGCATTCGTGCTGTTCATGGAGCCGATGTCAAAGACTTACTAGAACACGGCCACCCTCATGCTCTGGCGTGGACAGAAGTTACCATAAAGGGCTCAGCCCCGTATTGATCAGCCTCTCTTGCCTTTACAGTATTTCAGGCTGCCTTCCGAGCCCAGGGCCCCCTGGCCATGCTGGACCACTTTGATACCATCTACAGCATTTTACAGTAAGTACAGTACCCTGCTGTACCTGATAAGAGGAACTGGGGCCTCTCTCATGCCCGGATCTTGCATGTTAGTGTGGAAATCCCAAATGATGGGTTCACAGATACGTGGTTCTTGGTGCTCATAGCTCTCCTGATAACCATTTCACCTGACTTGCTCCGCATGTAGTCAGCTGGTCACTTTCATGTGTGTTTTAAAGTCTTGGCCGCCTCAGACTCTGTCGGTTAGAATGGCCTCTGCAGCCTCCTGTCTCACTCCTGCACTCTCTTTCCCTCATAGTCACTTTCGAAGTGTAGACCCGGGCCTCCAGGAGGACACTCTGGAATTCCTCGTCAAAGGTGTTTGTGGGTCAGGGGTAGGGGTGGAAGGTGGGTGTTGGTGGTGGTTTTGGTATTTTATTTCTGTGTCTGATTAGCCATATGATGATATCAAGGCTGTTGTGATTCAGTGGGTTGACTAAGTCCAGGGACCTGTGGCCCTTCATGAAGGTCTGTAATCTTGGTGGGCGATACAGAGTTGTGTGCGTTCGCTGTAAGGGCAGACCAACAAGAAGTTAACCCTACTTTTGAGCTCCCTCCTTAATGGGGGGATTCTTCCAGTTGCCAGGAGAAAATGGTAACTAAAGCTAGAGAGTAGGGACAAGGCAGGTTGAGGTGATGCGGGTCAGGGCTCCCAAAGGACATAGTCTGTATTGTGACCACTGAGAGATGAAACACATATCTTTGGTAATCTGATGGCTGTCAGTGCTGGCTTTTTGGTGGTCGGGGTCTGTGGGGAAGTGAATGAACCTGACTCCGGATTCTGGCCCTCGCAGTGGTAGCCCGCCATTCCCAGGAGCTTCCCGCTCTCCTGGATGACGCAAGCCTGAGTGCATCTGACAGAAGTGCCCACCTGAATGCCCTCAAAATGAACTGCTACGCCCTCATCCGCCTCGGGGAGGCCTTTGAGACCATGACCAGTCAGAAGAGCCTCCTAGACCTGGACGTGGTGGGGAAGGTAATATGGAGCTCCTGGCTCCCTTGATTTGAGGTGTGACCGGTAGAATTGATGGGAAAGAGAAATCTGAGGATCTGGGAGTCATCTGTTCTCATTTTGGATCCCTGAACAAAGCCCTGGAAGCGTCACAGCATACCCTTCTCTGTTGAACAGCTCCCCTGTGTTTGGAACTTGTGCTTCTCTGTCACCTCCCCTTGGTCTGGACACTGGATAGTTTGGGCCCTTGGACCTGTGGACCTTGCGCCTCTATTTCCTTACTTTCCCCTACATGTGTCCATGATCTTGCTCAGGGTAAGAAAGCTCGGACCAAGGCCGCCCTGGGCTTTAACTGGGAAGAAGAGAGGCAACCAATCCTTCAGCTGCTAACACAGCTGCTCCAGCTGGACATTCGTCACCTATGGAACCATTCCGTAATTGAAGAGGAATTTGTCAGGTAGGTCATGAAAACGGGACAGTCACTTATGTGGAATGAGGGCTATGCTGCTGGTAGGTCATTTAAATACTTCTTCCTGCCTCAGCTCTTTCTGGAGCACCCACATGGACGGGGGAGCACCCCAAAGTGTGTGGAAAAGGGGGACTAGACAATTGGGGGATTTTCCACTCAATCATAACATGGAGTTGTTAGGAAGTAGCTAACCGGATGTTAGAAACTGCTGTGGAGTTCTCATCTCCAGTGTTCATTAACGGAACTGAATTCACTGAGAGGCTCCTGTGTGCATGGAAGGCATCATTGTCGACACTGGAGACAGTACTACAGAGGGGACGGTCATTTTTAAGGTAGTAACATATATAGTATCTTCTGAGCTTTATTATTCTGGAAGGAAATGAAGAGGTCAGTGGTGGGTGGGGGTAGAGGATGGCTGCAGTTTCAGTCCACCGTCCTAGCATTACCTCTGTGATCGTGGCATCTGAGCAAAGACCGGATGAGTGTGAGAGCTATGAGACTCTGGAGGAAGAGCATCCCAGGAAAAGTTAGAGTGTGTGGGAGACCCTGTGGAGGGAGAGTGCCCAGTGTGGACAAGTAACAGCCCTGAGGCCAGAGGGACAGCAGCTGAGTGAGGGCAAGAGGCTCAACTGGGAATTCAGGGCAAGAGAGTGGGAGCCTTGCCAGCCTTCATGGTGACCTTAGCAGGGCCCTAGAGCTCAGGTCACTGGAATTCTGAAGGGAGCAGTGAGGTGGCCTGACTTGACCTTTAATGAGCTCCTTCTGGCTGCTGTGTTGTAATTGCCTGTAACGAGGACGCAGTTACAAGGTAGGAGGCTATAAAGTAACTGTGCAAAAGATGATGGAGACGGGCAGGTGTGGCTGGATTTCAGCCCTGTTGTCTTAAGTAGTGCTTACAGAACGTCCTGGCCAATGGAATACGCAGTGTGTATGAGAGTGGAATCCAGGAGGACTCTCCCAGCGTCTTGGCCTGAGCATCTGGAATAATGGAGTTGCCAGTAGCCGGAATGAGGAGGCTGTGGGAAAGATCCAAAGTTCTGTTAGGGATAGACTGGATGAAGCAGAGCTCAGGTAGACTCCATCAGCTCGCTCTCTTCCTTCAGTTTGGTTACTGGCTGCTGCTACCGCCTCCTGGAGAACCCTACCATTAGTCACCAGAAGAACCGCCCCACCCGGGAGGCCATCACACACCTGCTTGGTGTGGCCCTGACACGGCATAACCACATGCTCAGTAAGTGACCCCTCGCCCTGAGCACCCCTCCATGTGTCCCAGCATCTCTCATGGTCTGTGCTCCACAGGTGCCACAGTGAAGATTATCCAGATGCTGCAGCACTTTGAACACCTGCCACCCGTGCTGGTGACGGCTGTGAGCCTCTGGGCTACTGACTACGGGATGAAGAGCATAGTAGGAGAGCTCGTGAGGCGAGTCGTCTTCTCTCGGGGTTTCTTTGTTTGTTTAGTCGAGGATTGGTTGTGGGGGGGGTTTGGTTTTATTTTTGTTTATCATTTTATTGGGGGGCTCTTAGAGTTTTTATAACATCCCATATATCATTTGTATCAAGCATATCTGTACATGTGTTGGCATCATCATTTTCTAAACATTTACTTTTCTATTTGAGCCCTTGGTATCCTTACTTTTCCCTCCCTCTTCCCTCTTCTCCCCCTTCCCCCTCCCACCTTCATGACCCCTTGATAAATTCTAAATAATTATTGTTTTCATATCTTTCACTGACCGCTGTCTCCCTTCCCCCACGTTTCTGTTCAGGGTTCCTAATTCTTGTCTCGTCAGAAGTTCAAACATTGTCATTTATTCTTTGCGTAATACTAGAGCCCTTGAGATAATCAACAGCAGTCTGCTTCCACTTGCTGGGAACCGAGTGACTGTGTTATCTTACGCTGGCTGTTTTCTTCCCTACATAGAGAGATTGGACAGAAGTGTCCCCAGGAGCTGAGTCGGGACCCTGCAGGAGCCAAGGGCTTTGCAGCTTTCCTGACAGAACTAGCAGAACGTGTCCCAGCTATCCTGATGTCCAACATGTGCATTTTACTGGATCACCTGGATGGAGAGGTAGGGGATCCCCTGAGGGCCTCTGAGCTTTGCTGGGAGGTTTAAAGCCCAATGTTGAAAGGCAGGACAAGAAGAAAGCTTTCACATAGAATCCAAGAGTCTAGTCTTAGCAGTGCAGCCCTTCCTTCCGATAGAGAAGTAGGTCAAGGTTAGTGAGTAAGGAGCCCTGTCTTTCTCCTGTTGATTGTCACATTGGTTGATCCAGGGATGGTAGACTAGGACAGGGCAGTTCTATTCTCTGCTACAAGTCTAGTGAGAGTGACCGCTCTGATTCCCAGGAAGAGGCAGTTCATTGCCATATGGCTCACCTGGCTCTCTCTAAACAAGGAGCCTTCTAACCTCACCTCGTGCCAACCTGGCTGCTTCCCAGGCTGATACTGGACATTACTAAGTGAACATCAATGACAACGAGTTCATGGGTTTATTTTCTTGGTTAAGACCTTCTTTGCTGGCTCTTAGCCTGGCAAAACCTCGCACCCTGTCAACCCCCACGTCCTATAGCAGGCTTCTTTGCCTCTAGTGCTGAATCCTGCTTCTCAGTTAGTGGCAGGGAGGGAGGGCAAGGGGATCAGACAGGAAAGAGGACGTGTCTTATTCTGGATCACAGGCTCTGAGGCTGCAGATGAAGGGACAGCAGTCCATGCTTTTTAAACGTGTGTTGGTGGGTGGGTGTGACGTCATATTCAGCTGCCACCATGGGTAGCCTGGGAGACCCTAACGGGAAAGGCTGGTTTTAACTTTTATGTGTTGTGTCCTCCATTCTCTGAGCAAAAGCAAGGCCTCCGGGGGTGTGTACACACACACACACACACACACACACACACGTGACCACCTAAGAAGCACAAACTTGTTGCCTCTTTTGTGCCTGAAAACACACAAGCGTGTAGGGCAAGGGAGCCAGTGCTGATCCCGGTGCGGCCTTCTTTCTCAGAACTACATGATGCGCAACGCTCTGCTAGCAGCCATGGCGGAGATGGTGGTGCAGGTTCTGAATAGCGACCAGCTGGAGGAAACGGCCCGAGACACCAGAGACCAGTTCTTGGACACCCTGCAAGCCCATGGCCACGACGTCAACTCTTTCGTGAGAAGCCGGGTCCTGCAGCTCTTCACCCGAATTGTCCAGCAAAAGGTAAACAATCTTCTACAGCCAAAGCCAGGTGGAGAATCCACAGAAGAAGGGCTCAGCGTGTCAGTCTTTGCCATCCGTCATGAAGATCTTCCTCTACCTTGGCTGCCTGCCTCCATTTAAGGACGATGATGACTATTTGCATCTCAGGAAACTGTCTTTAAAATGTGTGGGCAGCCTCACTGAGTGTACACTTTACTTTCCATTGCCTTGAGCAGTCTAGATGAGGTGGGTTGTGAACTGACCCTCCTCCCTCTCCCTCCTGCTCCCCACAGGCTCTCCCCCTGACCCGTTTCCAGACAGTGGTGGCCTTAGCTGTGGGGCGTCTGGCAGACAAGTCAGTGCTAGTGTGTAAAAATGCCATTCAGCTGCTAGCCAGCTTTCTAGCCAATAACCCCTTTTCCTGCAAGGTAGGTAGGGTTGGCCCACCCAAAGGAGAAGGGGGAAGTGGAAATGGGGATGGAATGATGTGACTCCATGACCCTGGTGTTGATTTTGCCCTGGCAGCTTAGTGAAACTGACCTAGCCGGACCCCTGCAGAAGGAGATCCAGAAATTACAAGAGATGCTGGCCCAGAGGAAAGCGGTGGTGGCTTGTGAGTAATTTGTTCCTGCCTGAGTCCTCACTCCCAGCAGCCGACAGAAGGACTCTCACTAAGACTCTCACCTTCGCCGCAGCCGCAGCGCTGAACCCCGAAGAGGAGTGGGAAGCCATGCTGCCAGAGGTGACATCTACCCTGCGGCAGCTTCTGAAGTTTCCCCAGGAGGACGAGACGATGCCAGAGGGACTCGCTGGAACAGAGACTGCCGAAGAGGTGAAAGGACGGATCCAGCGGCTGCTTTCCAAAGCTAGTTACAAGTGAGTGAAAAGATGACCTTTCCAGTGGCCAGAACCCACGACCCTGCCACAGTAGATGCTCGCTTGTTTCCGGACGTGTGAGCACTGGCCCTAACAGCCAGCAGCCTGTGCCGTCCGCTTTCTTGTCTAAGTCGGTCACCTCCTAGAGGTGCTCTCCAGCCTTCGGAGCACTCAGACCGCTGTCATCACCCAGCTGTGAGCCGCAGGTCTGCAGATGGGAAACCCGGAGTTGGTTTGCTTCCAGCTATATGTTTAAACATGTCAAGGCAAACCGTTTTTTAACCGTGAGCTGGGTGAAGGTTTAGAGCAGATCATCCGTTCCATTCAAGAATTCATGCACATTTTGTTTCGTCTCATTCGTTGCAGTCCACACAGTGTAACATCATTGATGCTCCGTCCTCCCTGTGTGTCCTGTTTCCATTCTTCAGCCCTTCCTAGCCCTTCCCTGGGTCAGTGCTGCCCATTTGATGGTAAATGGTTGATGATTCTAAGGCGTGTGGACCTCCTTGTTACGGTTCCCTTTGTAGAGCTGTGTATGTTTGGTTGTCCCATCCTGAAGAGTGCCTAAGGGCCATAGTCCCAGGAGTTCATCAGTCACCAGCCAGCCAGAAAGCCTGGTCTTATC